TATACTGATTTACTATTGAGTTCTGTATCACATTGCAATGACAGTTTTTGCATACTGCACTTCTGTGCTTTGAACAATTTTAGCTAGCATGACTTTTCTACCCATTCGGTTTATGCATTAATAGATGCACTTTGCATCTGTTTTTTGGCTCACATTTATTTGTACGTGCATGCGTTATGTTGCTATCGCATATGGTGCCTCCTATTTTCGAAGAGATTTTTTCTTAGCATTCTAATGCTGATTGTTCTTTTGTTCTGTTGATAACCTTAATATGTTAGATTCTTGTCGTGTTTATTATGTAACTTTGCTCATTTAAAGAAAAATGACGCGGCTGCAATTTGTCTCCTGGTTTGTCCTCAATGCATTCAGAGACATTATTCAAGAGCAATAGTGGCCTTTGTTCTAACAATTGTGCATGACTAAAGTCATCATTTTGAGGGTTGGCTAGGTATTTCGAATTGTGTAAATTGTACATTATTGTGTTATTTGTGGTGGGTTGGAGATGTTCAATCCACATTGATTCATTTTCTCTTGCCCTGTGCTTGTCCTCAAATATATCTGTAAGTTTAATCACTTGAGGTGCTCCTCCCCCAAATGCCCTTTAACCAGTACCTGTAACATCTCAAAAAACGTCTTCATAATTGCCATCTACTTGGTGCAGATAATTTGTGAAACTTTCCATAATGCTTGTGCAGCAACTGTGTCTCTGTTGGCTTATTCTTGGCATCCTTTTTTACCTCCTAATGTCAAACAAGTAGAACATTTCTTTACCCTTTTGGTAAGAATATCCGAAGGACGTGTTTCTTAACTTCAATTTAGTAAAGAGAACACATGTATTGGACATATGCAGGGGTAAGATAAGTAACTGAGAAAATGCTGTTTAAATAGATCGAAATTCTACAAAGTGGGGGTCATTCTCACTTTAGCACCAAAGTTAAATGGCCCAAATACCTTTGTTTGTTCTGATTTTCTATACTCTTCAACATGTTTTTTTTTTTACTAAAATCTTTTGTTTTAGGTTTGCAACCCTTATCAAGCTATGTTTTAACAACCTGCTTGTTTATGGGTTCTAAACTTGCAACACGTATCTCTATAAGTAAAATATCTTGTTTCAAGTTTGGAATCTGGAATGAGAATTAGGATTTTGCTTATTTAGCTTCACTTTGTATTATAGGTAATTGACCAAAATGTCTGAGCTTGTTCATTATTGTAAGGAAAAGTGTTAATTTGAGTACGAATATCCATCTTTAATATGGACGTGCCATGGAGATCGACGATGTAAAAAAATTTCTTTTGTAGTATATTTTAAATTTTAAAATTGTATGTCCATTATCATTTTGGCCTAGATCATGAATCTGTATAATTTTGGATTTAAGATGAATTTTAGAGACTGGATGCACATGTACTTTGAGTCGGCTGGCTCGTAGAAAAAACCCATTCCAACCTTGTAAAGGGTATTTGAGGTATTATTTAACAACATGCTAAGGAGCTACTTGAGTGAAACCTTTCGTAATGACTTTATCAATAATTGGTTGATTTGATTACATTTAGGTGTGGTACCGATATGTAATAAGATGAGATAAAGTAGACTTAGATAGGGTGGCATGTGGGGTGTAGACCCAATACAACTCTTGTCATGAGGTGCGGTCAATTCGTGTTAGACTCAAAAAGCAATAGGTGAGTCTAAAAGGATATAGTTGTAAATAGTTAAAAAAGATTGGGGCATTTACCCTTTCACTAAGGGTATGGTTTTTAATAGAGTAGAATGGCAAAACATGGTTCGTGTAGTGAATCTCAATTAGTTGGAAAAAGGTTTAGGCGAGATGATGATAATTGATTTGATTGCATTTGATTTTAAGTTCAACAATAGTTATTAAAGCAACAATGAAAGCTATTAGAATGTTAAAATGGAGAAATACTAAGGAACCCCTTTTTATTTGGCAAATGTAATTGATATTATTGATAAAAGTTCAAAATGTACATCAGAGAATTAAGACATCGGATACAACACGCGACTACTGTTCAGCAATTTGGCTCCCTATAACCATGTGTAAAGGAGATCCCCATCTCAATTGCGATATCCATGATCTGCCACCATAATGATCTTAAAGTCCAAGGTGGGGTGGCTTGTGTGTACAACTGCACCGTGATATTGAGAGCAGCACCTTCGACTAAATAAGTATACCAGCATGTCTCTAATACCAAAGACTTCCTTTTGAAAAGAAAGAACATGGTGGTCAAAGGACTTTTCATCATAATTACTCGTAATAGTAAGATAAAATTTCTCTCGACTTTGTGCAACGAGATAGGCACTAACTTTTTGAGGTGATTATGACTTTTATGTACAAAATAATGGTGCCATTGTCTACAATCTTTAATAATTGCCCTGTTGAAGAATCATATTGGAATAAAATATTACAGCCCTCACTATTAAAATAAGCAGATCCCTGTTTTGTTGCGAAATGTAGATGACATTCAAACAAAATGAAATAACCTGTTATCGGTGTCCGAACTAATGCAATAAGGAGCTCATTAGCATTGTATAGATTGTTATCTTTGTTCTATTATAAGAGCCAAAATAGGGTGCTACCAGAGCAAAGCAGAGCAGAGCAGTGCGAGGTGTATTCGGGTAAGAGAGTCAGTGCTAGATCCTCGAAACGCAGGTTGGGGACTATAGGTTCAGCAGACAAAGAGAAGTTTTTCCTTGAAACACGAGGAAGGTTGGTGCGGTTAGTGCTTAGGGTGAGACTTCCGAATCCATCTTTGTTCTATTATAACTAATATCTTAGTCCACTATCACGGTTGGTATGGCTCTTTGTTTTTTGGAATTTTGGGGAGTTACCATTCTCCTTATGCTATGTACATTGTACACTTGGTCTCTCGGGGGAAGAGTTATCATGGAGGAATTTTTGTTAAATTTTCTGTTTTGAAATTTTGCAATCCATCTACGAATAACCAGATGTAGTATACAATCACATTGAGAAATGCTAGAACAAAACAGCAAATCTATCTAAATGAGAGACCTCTATATTGACTGAATTATATGATATCCTTTAGGGAAAGGTTTATACAAGGTTGTAACTTTAAAATGTAGAATTAAGATGTTACATCAAAAATCCATCATAAAAGGTTCTTTGGATGTTGAAACACCTTTTAATTGATCATTTCAATCTCGAGATGTATGAATATGAAAAGAGAAATAGATTTTGAGTCTTAAAAATAATGTATCATGCAACACATTATCTAGACCATCCATTTTTTAGATTGGATTTTCAAGTGTTTATCAATCTACTTTTTTGAGTTTAAGATTTTATAATTAAAGATGAAATAGATTCTCAAGCCACTCTAAAAAATTGACCCCAAAATTATATTTATTATAAAATTTAGAGGTACGCTTGTTTAAGGTTGCAACCTTATACACCCTATCCTTTCTATATTGATCGATTAGGATTATTATATTATTGAGCGTAACAATGGGAATTCGTGCGACCTTCTAAGCAATGGTTAACAAACACTTTTAGGTGCAATACTTTTTGCGTCTCTCTCATGTCTCAAAATTTGCTGAATGCACTGAAGTTTCATACAGTGCTTTAACATCACCCTAGCCATCAAAGGACAGGAAAGGACAACTAGGATGAAGCTACTGAAGTTTCCAACAGTGCTCTGACATCATCCCAGCCTTCAGATAGCTAAAAAGGACGACCAGGGTGTGTTGTGTTGTCTGTCATAAAATGAATCCCCTTTTATACCCCTGTTGATCAAGTCTCAACAGATTGAATGTCAACACAACCATAGATCTCCTTTCATACAAACTCTCTCTCTCTCTCTCTCTCTCTTATAGTTGCAATTACATGGACTCCTCTCTGTAGTAA